TCCTCCAGATTGACAAATCTATTTGTGGTCGTAATATTCGCTCTTTTCTTAACCGTGATATCCCAAAGATTACGATCCGATACTCTGCTCTTCTCTCCCGCCGAGAAAACTACTTCCTTCGCCGGAGGTTCCATTCCGCCTCTCGACCTTCGTACCAGTGTAAACCCCGCCTTCCTCTGGCTGTTCTCACTCGGGACTTTTGTGTCTGTCGGGGTTACTGTTACCACCACCTTCCCCGCAATCGTTACCTCCATCGTTCTCTCTTTGACTATCTTGGGACAGGCGTGGATTAAATGCCCATACATCCCACAAGATGAGCATATATTCTGGAGTCCCTCGTAAGCCACGAAGTATCTATCTTCATTAATCACCACTGTGCCTTTAAGAGGCTTCGTCAAGTTCACTTCAACACAAATTCTCGCGAACCTTGCTCTCTCAAAGTTTAGTGTAGTCGAGTCCACTCAGATCGGTTTTCCCAGCCCCCTTGTTATCCCATAAGGATAGATTTGTGATAAAGGTTTACTGGGATATTAGTCTGTTGAACCCATACGGGTATTGTGGCGATCTCATCCCTCAATGGGTCAAACTCCGCCAACCATGCTTGTACCATGAGGTAGCTACCAAACACCTTCCATGGACCCCCTGTCAAAGCCGTCAAGTATTCCTCTTCCTCCTCATAACGAATCATAAAGAATTGCCTCGGTAGGTCCATCACATACATCGCTCCTCTTGATTTCCATAGCTCACGCAACTTTCTGCTCAAAGCCGAAATAGCGACATTCCTTCCTAGGACTTTGACGATCATACACTTCTGCCACATACCATTCATAGCTTCCAGCACCTCCCTTGCTATTGTTATTCTCGGTTCCCCATCCTCGGCATTAGAGAACTCCACACTTAACCTCGACGAGACGAAAGGATCATCCAGTAAACTTTCTGGCACCGGCATCCCTCCTCCGAGTGTGCCTTTCACCTTCAACGCCCATAATCCAGAAGCATCCGGTGGATCTCCTGGTGGTCTTCCTTTCTCTTCGATATCCGTCATGGTTGCATCTTGCTCTCCCGCACCAAAAACCCTAGCCTCGCCAGCCGTCATACCTTTTTTCCTCCTACTACATAGTATAACTTAAACTCAAGACAAAACCTTATCTGCTTGTAGTTGTAATTAATTAACAATGTTTGTTTATTTAACTTTAGAAGCCTCCATTGTTGTTCTCACCTTCACCTTGTATATCTTATATATATATATTTAGAACAGTGAAATTAAATCGAAACCGTTAAGTTTACAAAATTGAAAGAAAAAAATTGAAATAAAACTTATTATATATATATATAAAATTAGGATATTTGACATCTGGTAATTAGATTTTAACACATGTTGTGATTAAATAAATAAAAAATATTAGGATATATTAATAAAAACAAAAATAATGAAAATTACCTTGAATTTAGAAAAATTTAAAACACTATTTTTTTTTAAAAAAAAAAAGAGGTAAATATTAAAAATAAAAATGGAAATACACTTCTAGAAAAAAAGTCGAGACAGAAAACAAACTTATACATGTATTAGGATTCTTGTTTATGTAGATGTAGGAGATATTCAGGCTGTGGATATATATATATACCAAGATTACATAGTGTTGAGTTATTAAGAAAACAAAAGGCGCATACTTATCTAGTGTAATATGGAACAACCAAACGAGTCAAACCCGCCTCCGCCTCCGCCTTCACCGCCGTCACTTTCATCACTACCAGAGCATGTGGTTGTGAGTATCTTGGCTCACATATCGGCATCGTACTACCCCAAACTGTCTCTCGTCTCCAAGAGCTTCCGCTCGCTCATCCTCTCCGAGGACCTCATGATGGCGCGATTCCACCTTAAAATCCGTGAACATTGTGTTTATCTCTGCCTACAATCGCACGACCATCCGTGTGACCACAGATGGTTCAATCTCTGGATAAATCCTGATGAAAATCAAACCCTAACACATCTTAGCGAGGATAGATGGGTCGGTTTCTGGACAGAACCTGAACATCATCAAACGCCACTAGCCTGTTGCGTGAGCGAAGACAAGACTACCCGAAATTTGTTGGTACCATTGCCCTCCTCATATTCTCCTTTCTTACCAATGCGGTATGAATCCGCTGGTTCAGATATATACCAAATATGTGGCAGACTAAACCCGTCCTCCTCCACCACAGTGCGGGTCCGTAATGAGCTCGCCGGTAATTGGCGTGACACCCCTAGCATGACGGTTGCTCGCCAGAATGCTTTTACATGCTCCCTCGATGATAAAGTATATGTAATGGGAGGGTGTGAAGCAGATGAATCTGCGTGTTGGGCTGAGGTTTTCGACCCAAAGACTCAAACATGGGAATCTTTACCGGATCCTGGCACTGAGCTCCGGTTCTCTTCAATTAAAAATCTCGAGGTGGAGGTAGGGAGAATTTACGTGAGGAGCAGTAAGAAGAACTTTGTTTACCTAGTAGAAGAAAATAGGTGGGAAGTTGTTGAGGAAAACATTGGTGAGAGTAGATGTGTCATAGATAACATATGGTACTCTTATGCTAACGGCAAATGCTGGTGGAACGACCCAAAGCTTTTTAAAGAATGGAGATTGGTCAAAGGCTTGGCTGAACTCGATCCACATTTTCGAAGAGGACATGGAATGGAGATTGTAAGTTGTGGTGGAAAACTTGTAATCTTTTGGGTTGGTCCAGTAGATTCTTGTTTTGATTTTACCTCTGAAATTTGGTGTGCTGTGATTTCGCTTGAGAGGCGCAACGATGATGAAGTTTGGGGTCAGGTTGAATGGGTTGATCCTGTGCTTAGAGTCTATTGGCCACATACACTCTTGCGTTGTGTGGAGTTAAAGCTTTGATCAACAAGACCTTTTTCGATTTTCCTTTTTCTTTTTTTCTTTTTTTACATTTTTTTGTGTACTTTTTTTAACATTTTTGAAAAGGGAGTTTACATGGATTTAGATTAAATTAAGAGTTAAGAAAACTAATTTCTAACAGACACGAAAGGTCCTTAAGTTTAAACTAAGAGATGTATTGGATCAAAGTAAGAGCATAAAAAAGAATAAGGTGTACATTGACCTTGAAAGTGCTTACAGAAATCATAATCTAAAATTTACTCATAAGATCACTAAAAAAAGGGGGAAAACAAAGACCTCGTAAGTTAATTTCTTTGGTTTCTATACTCATAAGATCACTAAAAAGTGATTACAACATATCAAAATTAATTTCTTTGGTTTCTAAACAAAGACCAAACCAACATAAATGAGAAAAACAAGCCTTAAACTCTCTTTATCTGTGCTAAGTCAGAGTAACAATGCTACTGTTCTGTTTGGATATTACAAGGCACCATACATATCAAGTTACTGGACTTGAATCCCAAATGTCGTCACTACAACAAAAGCCATTAATACGTTTCAAACAAGAATAAAACAACAAAGATCATGAGCGATGTGCGCAACACCAAAGCAGCAAAGCATGATGGTTTTTGATTAAATTCATTAATGTTGAAAGGCACACTCTGCTTCCTTTACTGTAGCGTGCCCTGCTAGAGTTTTCTTCTTCAAAACCTCATTTTGACCCCTCAAAAATTAGCATTTTCAAATTCCAATTGCACATCCCCCTTAACTCTTTTACAATATTAGCATTTCTTCTGTTTTTTTTTTATGGCAATTAATATAACTTGGAGATTTGTTCTTTCCCTTTAAGCTTGTTAGTAAGTCTGGATTTTTAATAGAACCAAATCATGACTTGTTATTCATTTTCTTACCCTGAAGTTTCATAGATGAAAGGTAACCTTTGTGCAGTAGTGTCTTATTTGTGAGGGTGAAGGCGTGAAGGTAGTATTCTCACACATTTAAATCTCCATGAAAAACGTGAAGTATGGTGAGAAATATTTTCTTATTTCTTATCTTCCAAGAAACCTGTTTGATTACTACAAACTGAGCTTGCTTGATTTGTATTGCAGCACATTGCTACGGTTCAGAATCGCATGATAACTTCCAAACAAGATAATACATTATCGTTTGACCCAAAAAAATAAGATGATACATTATCTATGTTTGGGAACTTTCAGTCGCGACATTCGTGGGACTACATCTATGCAAATAATTGTAAGCACGATGTTTTTTGTAAGCAAGATGTTTATAAATTTCTAGTCTAATTGGTTTTTTTTACAAGTTTTAAAATTCGAAAATAAAATTTTATTCTTGTTCTATGAAAAATTGATTGCTTCAAATTTCAAAACGTCTTTGTTACAGGAAAAAATCATATGGGCCCAGTAAAAGCCCATAAGGTTCGGTTAAGACACAAAAGACATGCATAGTAATTTACGGCCCATTTAGGCCCAAAATGAACCAACCGCCAAAACGGCTCACTTTTTTGTATTTTCCTATAAATCTCAGCTTATACTGACTTTTCAAGCGATACTTCAAACTAACCAAGATCGCAAGAGAGCAAAATAAAAGAACCCTAATCGCCTAAAATCATATCTTCTTTCCCGATTAATCCATTAAGAAGAACCCTAATCGCCTAAAAGTCATATACTGTATCTTCTTCTCCGATTAATCCGCTAATTCCGACGGCTAACGAACAATGGAGACTGAGAGTTTGCAATATCCCTCGACCTCGACATGGTCTTCATCTTTACCTCCTCCGCCGCAAATCCCCGTCGAAACGGTCGTCGTCACTCTGATTTCTAAATTCGGTATACGATACGAAGGCTTTTTCTATTATGTCAATCGCTACGACTCCACGTTAGGTCTTCGAAACGGTACGATCCTAAACCCTAAACCCCGTTTGTGATTCTTTCCTTTTTCTCCCTTCATCTCTTTAATGTAATTTGTTTGTTTCTTGAATGTTTTTCTTGCAGTGATATGCTATGGAACAGAGGGAAGAAATATAGTCGGGTTTCAAATTCCGCCTTCTAGTGACATTTACGAATACATTATTTTCACATTAACAGAAATCGAGGTACGTATATGTGTGTTTATAGCTTTGATTATTCCTCCTACTTTGTATGTTTTCGATCGAATTTTCTAAACTCAAAACTTTCTTTCTTTTTTATGTGCCATTGCAGCATTTATTCGGTTACGGTTACATACCAAGAGGAGCTACAACAACTACGAATAGTAAACTTTCTCACGCCACAAAACCACCACTCCCACTAACATTCTCATCACACAATCCACTACACGGTGCTAAGATAAGCCAGAAAGTTCCATTAATCTCCAGTGATATTGCTTCAAATCTCCTTGCTCATCAACCGCAGCTATACGCGCCAAATTTCTATGATCCTTGGTTTAATTATGCATACCACCAAACTATGCCTTATGGTGTACTTCATCAAGCTCCTCCTCCTCCTATAAACGCTGCCTCCGAGCTAGTGTTTGCTCCTCTAAGTTTCTTTACCACTTTCCCGCCAGTTCCAATTTCTCTTCGTCAGGTAAAAAATTTCATTCTCTTCTTTATTATATGATCTGCTTTTGATTACATGATCTTGTTTTAGTATTCCTTAAGCACCACGCCAAAACTAATTCTTTCTTGTCTTCTTTTTTTTTTTGTGGTTATAGAGTAGTGGAGGATTTGAATTTGAGGCATTGAGTAAGAACTTCAAGCAGTACGAGGTATGGAATCGTCAGGAGAACAACAATCAAACTGCTAGTAACAACAAAGAAGCTGTTGATAACACTAATGACGGATCGTTTTACATGATCTCTCGGAATCCGTTTGATCCTATCGGGAGACCTTGCAATACGTTTGGCAATATCGAGAGACTCGACGAGCATGAGTTGCATTGGGGACATCAACTACAATTAATACCTAGTACGCTTTTTTCTGAACTGTGAGTCTCTGTTTTTTTGTGTGTATCTTCCTTGAGTCAATATCCTTGTGACATATCATTGACAAGTCCATGTGTGATTTTTGTCTAATGGACTTACCATTTGTTATTACTTGTTAGTTTTTTTTTCTCTATGTATGAAAACACTGATTTTCAAATATATGAAAAGTCTTAACAGATTTTTTTTCTACTTCCATGTTTTGTTTTCTCTGTTCCCTTTTGGATTTTTGACTTCAAATCTGAAAAGGTCACTATGGTTGACTTAGACATTGCTCCATGGTGGATGATGCATCTCTCACACGTGTGAAGTCTTCTTTTCATTATCCATGTTGTTATAACCTATTAACTTTACTTAGATTAGTCAGAGTTATGTGGACCGTTAGTTGTGCCTTGTGGGGGTTACAACTGAGAACGAATCTTTCTAATTGCAATTTATCGATTAAGATATGGAAACTAGAAATAGCATATTAATGTATAATTATAATTATTAGTATTATGCACAAGTTGAGACTGACTTTTTAATGGGATCCTATCATCATCCTATGACCAACCATTAGTGGGTGGTGGGATGTTTATGTTATGTCCATTCAACATTCCCAATATAAAGACACTAAATATTCCCCTTTTTATTTATATCCTGCTTATATCAGCAGTGGAAGAAGCTTCTTCCACCAAGTAAATGACAGTTTCTGACTTGTTCGTTTGGTGATCACCATGGCTTTGTTCTCTTTCTTCTTTTGTTTGTTCTTGGCTTTGTTCTTTGACAACGACTTGCACAAGTTGTTGTTGACGTTTCTTCACTTTGATCATGATGGCTGATATGGTCAAGGCTCCAAGTCCAAGGATGGCTAAGCAGCCTGAAGCTGCAAAGACACCGTCTTTGACCAGGTAACAATCTTCATCGAGCCATCCTTCTCCGTAAGGCTGAGTTCGGCTCATGCTTATTGCAGTACTCAGAATTAAAACCACAACCACAAAATTCAACCTGAAAATTCAACCACAACCTCAGAGTATAACTTTTAATCTATAATCATATAACATAAAAATTCAATATCAATTAATATCATTTATATATTAAAATATGTCTAACTGAAAACCAAACCGAGCTAAATTGAAACCGTGTATAAAACATAAACCGAGAAAAAACGAAACTGTAAACCAGGTCATCGGCCCATAGTTTAAACTGACCGCTTCTACCGGATAGAAATTTAATAGGATTATCGGCAAAAAGGAATTTAATTCATTTATTTAAATTAGAAAAAGAAAAAAAGACAAGAGAGAGAGAATAATATTTTACCAGGACAGAAGCAAAAGAACGGTTGGTAAAGTAAGATCAGTAAACTTGTAACCATCTTCTCTTTTAATTCTCGTCCTGTGATTTCGAAGCACAACTATGTTCCCAAAGATTTGAGCAAGACAGAAGCAAAGAACAGCGACTGTTCCGAGCTCAAACGCATGGCTTCCCGGTTTATAACACTTTCTCTCTGTATCCCACCGAATATCTTCTTTCTACAGATATGGATATTTCAGAAAAACTTGGTTCGATTTTTTCCTATTAAGAAGAACAAAAATGGGTTTCGATGGAAGTTAGGTTACGTCGTACCTTTGTTCTCTTGAACTCGGCTACAAAACATGTGATGAAGGAAACGAGACCAAGAGAGAACACGACCGAGTAGAGAAAAAGGTTGTGCATAGTTTCTAATGATTTTGTGAAATAATGCACAAAATCAATCGGACGCACGCGCATATATATATGTATAGCTCTACTACAACATAAATGTTATAATTTTTTGAGACAAATTTTCTCAGGAGAAACCTTCTTTATCAACTCATTAAGAGTGGGAAAAAGAAGAGTATTCTTAATCATACCAAATGATATCTTTTCTAGAACCATTTAAAGGGATGTAGATGATGGTATACAAATCTTAAAATTTTGGTTATGTGAGGCAACTTCTCAAAGAAATCTTCTTTGTCAACTAATTGACTATGGAAAAAAAAATCGAATATTCCAATAAGAAATAAAAATATTTTTATAAAACCATTCAAAGGATATAATAGTCTTGACTAAAGGAGAGGTCAAGGTAGCTTGTTTGGCTACTTTAATAACATGGACTGTATATGGAGTATAGTTCACGCCTACCACCAAGTGGAAAACTTGAAACTTTTTCTATATCTTTATTTTTTTGTTTTCAATATATGAAAGTTTTTTTTTTTAATTGTCAATTGGCTACTAGGCTTATAAATATTATCCATATTGCTCATCTTTATTTTCTTATTTATCAAATTGCTATACTAGTCTTTGGTAGTAATAATCTACGAATAAATTAGCGTTATCGTTAACTCATACTCTAATAAATAAATTCTTAAATAAAAGTTTATTAGAAAAAAAAAATCGTTTCATTTTCTTAATATGAAAAATTAAAAATCTGATTAAAACAGAGAAAGCCTCATTTCTTCTTCTTAAGAACATCAACAACATTAAGTCCAATACAATAAGCAATAGACTGAACAGTGACCATCGGATTAACCCCTAAAGCCGTCGGAAAAACACTTGTGTCCGCCACGAATAAGCCTTCGACCTCCCAAGTCTCTCCCGTTGGCCTCACCGCGGATTCTTCTGGCCTAATTCCCATCCTACAACTTCCCATTTGATGAGCTGAACATATCTGTCCTGACAAATCCTTCAATGGCTTTGAACTCTCTTCTCTCACAAACCGCTCGATCTCTACCGCACTCGCTGTTCTAACGTTCAAACTCTTACCTTTTGAATTATGTGTCCCGATCTCCTCAGCTCCTGCCGCGGTTAGAATATTCAAGACTCCCTCAAGACCCTTCTTTAGACTCTCTTCGTCTTCATCGTTTAAGTTGTAGTCAATGTAGCTCTTGGAATCGATTGTTCCGGTTCCTTTATCTCTCAAAAGCGTGAAAACGTGTGCGGTTCTTGAGAATTTGAGCATTCGGGTTTTGAAATCCTTGCTTGATGTCCAAGGTATTACCCCTGAGAACATCCCTGGATGAAGAGAAGGCGTTTGGATCACCGTTTCTCCATAAGAGGTCTTCGTTTCTGTGTTTACAACGCTGGACATTGCGGTCATTATTCCTCCCTCATAGCTCTTTTTCTTCTTCTCTGGCCATTTCTCCTCATCTGGAAACCATCCCCAAGCCATAACCACCGGATGTAAACAAAGGTTTCTCCCAATGTTACCGTTCTTCAAACCACTGCGTCTCAACAGATGAGGCGTTCTAAGCGCACCGCAAGCCACTATCGTCGCTTTAGACTCTACCACATAAATCTCTTCCCCAAACGCAAACGCAAGTCCAGTCGCGGTCTTTTCCTTCTTCCCGCTTTTGGACTCGTACAAGACTTCCATAGCTTCACAACCTGGAAGGATCAAACCATTACCAGATTCCACTGAATCTACAAGCCAAGTCTCTGAAGTCCCCTGCTTTTGACCTTTCTTGCATCCCAAGCAACAAAACCCACAGTAATGATCCGATGGAGAATTCCTCGGAATAGTCTTCACCGGTAAACCTAATTCTTCACAACCTTTCCTCAAGATCTCATTACTAAACCCTTCTTCTACAAATCCGCATTGAACACCCATTCTCTCACACACAACATCCATTGCCTCTCGATACAAATCGCTTCCAAACATTTTGAGTTCCGACTTTTCCGCCCATTCCTTCATCACATGTTCCGGTGTCTTGATCGAGGCGGACCAATTGATCGTAGACCCGCCTCCGACCGTGGACCCTGCCATAATCACTACGTTCATATCAGAAGTCGCTAATAAACCACCGGATAAATACATCTCATCCATTGCTTGTCCTTCAAGTAAAGAAAGATTGCTTCTAGCATAGTAATTCCCTTTCTCCACCACCAAAACTTTGTAACCCGCCTTGGCTAAAACTCCGGCCACCACTCCTCCGCCGGATCCGGACCCAACCACCACGGCGTCACAACGAATTTTCATGACCGGGGCAGAAATAGATGACCCGTCTTTATTCCCCTTTTGAGTTGAAACTGTGAACCCATGGCCTGTCAACTTCTTTGCCACGGCTTCTCTAGGCTTTTTGAGATCAATGATGCCATTGTAAAGTGGTCCAAAGATCTCCTCAGGTTTCGTCTTCTTCTCATTAAGTTCTTCGTCATGATGACTATGATCTGAGATGGGTCTATTGTATCCTATTGCTTTCCATGCCAAGTTATTTCCTTTTTCATCCACCTGGAAATTATCAAAGTCGTTTATAAAGTTGAATTCTTTTGTTAGGAGTAATTTGGTATATCAAGTTGACATGTTTGATGTCCCCCTCCCGGTTTTATCGGGTACGGATTTCTTTGGAAAACCATTTTCCAGAGGTCCACCACAGGTTAATCATTGGGCCATATACCCCATTTACTATATATGATCCTTAAATCAAAAAAAAAAAAAAAAAAAAAGGAGTATATGAAAAGTAATTACAAAAAAAGTATATAGAAATTGATATGAGTAACTAAGGTTTGAGGTTTTTGGTAAAAGAGAGAAAAAAAAAAAGCTAAGGTTTGAGGTTTAGTTGCTGTTTACCTGAGTAAAGAAGACAAGGGCAGTGATAAGTTTGATGGACCTAAAGAACATTCTGAGGAGTAAGAAATAGCTTGAAGCCCAATTGAGCAAAATCTCTTCTCTCTGTTTCTCCGGCAGTCGGCAGAATCTCCGAAAGTAAGGAAACTCGCCGGTGAAACTTCTGCGACCACACAAGACGAGACTTCCGATCCAAGTGGAGAGTGACCACAACCCAACTCTTAATATCCACTTCTTTGGGTGGTCAAGTCTCTCACTCATCAACCTCGCCACCTATTATTGAGAATTTATTACATGATAACAAAAGGTTACCGATTATTAAGAGAAAACTATTTATAGACTAATGAACCAAAATATATAGGATCTAATTTCAAACAAATACACTATGAAAATTACCATAGGCTAAATAGCCTAAACATTTATTTTTTATTCTTTGCATCGCTAACCAGAACATCTGCAGACTGCAGGCAAATGACGAGTCTCTGCATCGACTAATACCTAATCGTTTTAAGGTAATTATATATTTGTATCAGTGCGTAGATTGATTTAAAAAAGTATTCCATTTGTTATGTGGATTCTCTGAAATTTGAAAAGTGCATTTCAATTAACAAAAACATATATCCATATTGACCAAAAGTCTACACTAATTAATAACACAAAGTTATATAACATGATAAACAAGATAAGTCTCAGATAAACAAGATAAGTCTTAATCTGATTCAGCAAAAAAAAAAAAAAAAGTCATAATCTACGTCGTTGCCCAACGTAAATTATGACAAGAAAGAAGGGACATTTGAATTGGTCATCGTAGTAATATTATTAATTCCATATAGTAATTGTTATTATTATGAGGAACGAATAAGTGGTTGCGAAAGGAAAAGCAACTAATGTGACAATCAATTTTGAGAGATACGTACTGGCATGCGTGGCGACGGAATTTAGTTGTACCCGAAATTTGTCGGCTCTCTTATATTTCACTGAGAGTACCGATTTTTTGTTGTCATCTAAAGTACTGATTCTTCTTTTAGCGATGAAAGGACTGATTCACATGCATGCAATAGTAATATACTATATATATATATATATATATCTAATTTTTTACAAAAACTACTGTCATGCTTTATCCAACAAATTAATTATATAAGTATCCAATGGCTTAATATATTTTTGTTTTTCTTAAGTTTTAAGTAACAATCCATTAACTTGACAGTTTTTTTTTTTTACAATACATAAAAAATGAATGATTTATGGACATAAAACTTAAAGTTGCGGATTTGGGGTTTGTAATCTTTCTTGATTCAGTAACAATCCATTAAATTTGACAGTTTCTTTTGTTTGTAAAAGGGGTTATCTGTAAGTACATACAAATGCATGTATATATACATATATTTAGATTAATGTCTCTTTATCTATATGCTCATCAGCTCATGCATGTATGAAAATATATACTATAATTAGGGATGTATGTAGATGCATGTTTGGCAACACTTACGCGGTCGGGAGTTCCGGTCTGACAAGCGGAGGCGGAGTAATATGCAGCCACGCCGTCATCTAAGTGTCCAACTTCAGAGCCGTCGATCGATGGAATCAAAGTATCGCAGATCGCTGCTAGAGATTCCATCTCACGCGCCGTCAATGAGTTCGCATAAAGCGGCTTCGTGTCATCTTCCTGCCGGAGACTTCCAAATTCTACGTCTAATTTAGCCTTCGTCGATTCTTTATGAAGGCAGCTTTTGTTTTGATTATCCATTACTTACAATTTTTTTTTTAATTGTGGCTAGTAAGTATAGGTGTTTGTGTTTATATAGAGAGCAGGGGTGTATACAAAATAAGTTATGTATATTAAATTAAAATATATACACAAATGGAATGTGTAGTATTTGGACAAGTCATGTATTCATGAACCGTATCAAATAGGTTGGTACCAGCAGGAAAATTCGGATACCGGCAAGAACACAGGTTTGGTCCGAATTCTATTAACATTAATTTTATCAGACTACTATATATATATATATAATTTTATAGAAAATACGAATATCATTCTTAAATAAAAAGACACTTAACTTAGTCAAACTTTCTGAAAATCTCTCTTGGCTAATGAAATTTTACATTACTTAATACATTCATATATTCTTAAAAGGATTGATTTATTAAAGATTTTTTTCTTGCTGCACAAAGATCCATTTTCTAAGTTTTTTGTTCATACTTAATTAGGTGAAAATGTTTATTTGTGTATAGATATCTTATATACGGATATTTATTTGTGTAGGTATATCCTAAATCCAAAGAACAAAAAATGAGAGGATGGGTATTAGCCAAATCCCTCTCACATGTTCTTTATGTAAAGCTTATTTTCTAAGTCAATATAGTAACCTTAAAACCAAAAAAAATACTGCTATATAATTTGCATATTTCACGAGGCGTAGGCCCAACGACGTGAAGATTGTGTTGCATTACGAAGTGATCGTCTCATGACTATCAGTGAGTTGAATACTATTATAACGGTAAAATATTAGTCATGTTTACTTAGATCAAAACATGTAATACTTTATAGAAAAAAATATTTGTTCAAACTCAATTAAATTGTTTTTGTTTGTTTGTTAAGAACTAAATTAATTGGTTCTAAGAGGAAAATAGTTAGGTGAGTATATGAAGTAAACTGACAACCCTATTCTATTTATAAATGGTTCGAGATCAGACAGTTTAGGCGTTTAGCAATCATACCAATCCATCAATTAAATTTTATTGACCTAAACATCAAAAGTTCATTAACTTTGCAAGAAATCATAAGTTTATAAAAATATAAGTGTATAAAGTACTAATAATCTAGTCGCTTTAAAAGAGTTTTTAGTTGAAATGCTGAGCTATGGAGAAGTTAAGTAGTTATTTCCACACAATATTTTGGTAACATTTTAATGATAAAAAAGTAGTATTATTGATATTTCGTCGGAAGAGCTCGAGGCTGATTTGTATATGTGAATGTCGCTAGATATGGGACTCAAAGTATCAAAAAGTAATGACAAATAATAATTTCAAATGATTAATTTAATAAATATACTATTTGGTAATAATAATGTAAGAAAAATTGACAAGGTTCATAAATATGATGGAATCAATAAAGTTCAGAGATCGTGAAAGGACCCAACGACTGCATGATCTGAGTACAAAACTGGACCCTTTGAGAAAAACAAAAGAATTGAATGTCGAAGACAGTACAGTTAACAATACCTGTCCTCCATAATTATATCATTCATTAAGTTTCTGATTTTCTTCCCGATTTAGTGTTTATTTTCACTTCTCTTATGCAAATTATAGGTGCATTGGTATTATCGATTGTCCAATGCAAGTTGACGATGGGGTAGATAGAAAATTTATGATCTCGGATTTTGAATCTTTTTACGTGTTAAATGTGTTTCTTTTTTCAGATACGTATGTACATATACGTTTAACTATAAGTAATTTGAGTTTGATGTCATACTCTTTTTGGTTACTTGACTGTAAGGTTAAAGAGTCCTTTGTACATGTAATTTTGAAGATATATATATATATATATTTAACCGTTACACCATGCAAAAGAATAATATAATTTTGAGTTAGTTTCGGATAGAGTGCGAGTGGACATCATATATAAGTATGAAACATGTCGATTTCAAGTACGGACGAAAGTACATGTTATTTGATTTCTCTGAATATCTGGTTCGTTCCCATGCCATCTAATTAATTGAAATATTTTGCTTTTTTCGAAAAATCAAAGTCCTTGGAAAATAATATACCAAAAAAAAAGAAAAAAAGAGAGAGAGTGAAACTTGGCTAAAACATTATACACACATACACATGCATCATATACATGATACAAAGTTTCTTTTGTTTTGGGGCAACAGCATAAACTCAATGAGATCCATTGAGCCTAGAGAGCAAGAAGAGACAAGCAGAGGAAAGAAAGATAGAGACAGAGATACAAAGCAAATCCGTGACAGAAGTTATAACAATTTTCCTGCTCTTGTCGAACAAACCAATCAACAGCAGCATCACTATTACATGTCCCAGCTTCGTTTTCAGCTCGCTAACAGATTTCACCTCTAACCATTGAGGTCGCTCCTGGAGAAATTAACAAAAACCGTTAGTATCAACCAAAATTGAGATCTTTGATACTTTTTAGATCGGAAAGTGTTGAAAAGGAGCAACCTTTAAGGGGAACATGCCAAAGAGACTCGATCTATTGGCAATATTATCGCGTGAGATCGATTCTGAAGTGTCGAGATTGCTAATGAACAGCTCGTATAGTCCCATTCCAAAGACCAACATCACAGTTCCTAGAAGATATATATCTACAAATATTTTGTATCATCATCAGCATCATCCTATCAATACAGTTTTGTGTATACAATGTTCTGAAACACGAAACATAGATAAACTCTCTCACCTATGGCTTCGACAAGAAGTAATATCACCTTCCCACGATTCACAGTATACTGCACAAACGAGTCTGCGACATACATACATCCCTGCACCGATCAAATGTTAGAGAGACACCAAAATTAGAAACTAGAGTCTAATCTGTACGGGTGAAGATTCAAACATTTAATACAGGACAGGAACTATTCCACACTAGTTTCATTTCATGTAATTGTAGCTATAATCAAGAAAGAATCAAGGAGAGAAATTTGCAGTGCCTTCACCTTGATGAAACAGATAACCGATCCGAGCAAAGATCCTAGTGTTCCAAGAAGCGCCATGAATCGACATCGATATATAATCTGAAAATTTTGAGCAAACACATTTATATCAAAACCTTAAAAAAAAAACTCAGCTTTCCAATATATTGTCGAACATCAGATCAAATCCCTAAAAAAACTCAGCTTTAAACTATGAACAGAGACCCCTGAAATTTTCCAAGATTTTGTAACATATATCAGCGATTAAGTGAAATTTTGGAATCAACCCTTTTACCTTCTCAATCCCCTCTTCTAAAGCCTCCAATCTATTCGGAGAATTCGATGTTACAGCCGCCGACGCAGACGCAGACGCAACGCGCCAAGAGAGAAATCTCCCCGGAGGTCTAGAACTCCAAGCCGAGCCAGTCGTTCTCATCTTCTTCTGGAGATTCAAGCCACCAGAGCTTGATTTGAGGAGCCTCTTATCGATCGGAACGAAATCTCGACAACCGCGGAAGGTCATTCCCGAAGGCGACGGCGCGGCGATAGCATTTGCGTTTATGGTCCGGCAAGGAGACGACATAGCTGTTTTGGAGAGCAAAGAAGGGGACGACGAGTCGTGGTTTAGTCAATCAAGTGTGGAGGAGGAGACGAGAAGAAGAAGAAGAAAGTGAGAAGCAGAGACGTGTCAGGAGATTGGGATTTCGCCGCCGTGAGAGAGTTGTACGGTCGCTTAGGAATCCACTTGGACGGTGATTATCGGTAGTGATGGAAATAACTTTACACGTTTTTTAATCACGCGGGTTATTTCGAACAAATATCTTTAAAACATTCTGAAACGCAGACAATTCGTTACACAAACGCAATCACAGACGACAGAAATCTCTCTACTTAAGAAAATGTGCATTTCGATTCTAAATTTCGTTTATAAACTCTTAATGTATTTTATGTTATTTTTTGGGTCAAAGACTCTTTCTATGTGAGCAAAATATAAAAGACTCTTTCTATGTATTACTTCCTAAAATATATTCACACCTCCTAATATTTATCATAGAATGTATTAGAAATTTCATACCATCAGAATAGACGTAACTAAAATATATAGCATATGAGTTTTATTCACTTCCTAGCAATTAGTTTTGAGTTATAAAAATCGTTAATAAAATGTTACACATACAAAATGTGAAATTCTAGCCTATAAAATGTTCTTTTTTTTTAATGGAGAGCTTAGTCGTATGCAGAATGCTACTTAATTAACACCCCGAATTAGTTCATCATTCTTTTTTTTTTCTTTCTTCTTCAGTTCATCACTCATGTTGGTCGTTCGGTTCCGATTAAAAATCTAAAAATAGAAAAGTTGAATAATTTGAAAACTAAAGTTTGAGACGAGAGAGTTTTGATGAATTCATCTCGCCGAGACTGGTATGTTCTGGAATCCACTATATATATATCAACAAATTATTATACAAAAAGATTACAACAACATACAGATGGGAGCCTTGAATTCGAATAGCATCTCACCTAATACCCATGTTTACACACTCAAGAATAAGCTCTCTTGCTTTCACATAAAACAATGTTACGTCCCAACAAAACCTATGTGTCCAAAGACTCCAAACTAAGTTTTGGTTTTCTTCTTTAGCCAACAACACATGTTGCAATAAGAATAGTCCACAACCTTGAATTGTACAAGGCTCAATGACTTTTGTTGCCCACATGGGCTAATCTCCTAGCCAACAATCCAATATATCACCTTCTAAAAATTAATTAATTTTTTGTTTTTATCATTTTCGACAGAGATAAAAATAATAACTATTCACGAAAACACCAAGAAAACTTTGGTAGCTTCTATATATTCAAATTCCATATTGTATTCCACAATATTTGATTTGTGACAATAACTTTCATCATTATTCAACTATTATTCTGTATGCTTTGATTAACAGTTTTTTCCATCATCTAAATGCTCTTATAGAATCAACCATCTTTTCTTCTTTTTTTCTACTAATATCTTCTTGCCTTCAACGTCCCATTGGCCCAAACCCATTTCCCCCAAAACTTATTTTCTGGATGTTTTTATTCTTGATGCTCCTAATTTACAAGAAAGTCATGAATCATTAAGAAGACCATCATTAGTACCTGAACGAAGTAATTACCTCCTGACTCGTCGTGCATAGCCAAAATACCAAAAACAATGTTTGTAACCTACTTAAAAGAAAATGTTTGCGATATTCACGGGACTTCTTTTTCTAAAGTTCTGGATAAGAGTATTTTGTTGAAATATGTCGAGATATTTGTTATTAATAATATTGCATAGTCAAAAGTGTGGCAGAAAAACTATGTAATGTGAAATTGTCAATTTTGAGATGGAGAAAATAAACTGTCGGCGCCGTAAAAGACTGCAAAATACCATAATACATTTACATTGGTGTGGAATCTATACCATGAAATAGACTGTGCACATTTGTCTACTATCACAGAAACGGAATCATATTCTACTTTAACTTATGTGTGTATTTATATACTCCTGTTAAAGTTATTTAGTTTTTATATTTTACTTTAATTAAAAGAAACTTCAACGTCAAAATTTGTTCATCATAAATGTTTACGAATATTATAACAACCTTCTGAATATCCCTCTGTTGTGATGTTTCCGAATATGCTGATCCCATTAATTTATAGAGCACTACAGGTTACTAATTTGATCAAAATGGGATGGTTATAATCAATTTAATTATGGAGCATTTTAGGTAAAGTAGTCTCTTTCGGCATTTTCTTATCGGTTTGTTTCTTTCTTCAATGTTAGGGCAATCACTTTTAACTGTACTATCTACACTACATAGTCTACATTAAGAAATCGATACTAATGGCAAAGCAAAACCATATCATTGAAAGTTGGATCAGTTCACGTGATTTCTGCCCTAAATAAAATGAGTTTGGCTTAGGCAAATGCGAAAGCTTGATGATATGGAGGAGGTATTTTATCTCATTTACCTAGATTTTAATGGTCAAATTAATGCTAAAGCGTGAATTTTCTTTTAAAATACAAGAAAATATATAATCAACCAGGCTATATTTTACATCACAAAGTCAAAAGTGGAAGACGCAGAAGTAGTCCACGTGACATGAACAGATCACGCTCACGTGGTTTAACTGTTGAACCACGTACGAGTGACTGATGGATGTTTCCGTCATTTCATTTTAAGAAAAAAATCTTAGGTCTGAAAAATTCATATCTCCACAGTGTGAAAGCGACGACCTCTGCAATGAAAACACGTGTCAAGACATGAATGGTCTGTTACCTGTATTAAATACCCTACAGATGAGGCTAAGGTTGTCTCTCTTTGATAGGGTTCTAAAAAAAAAATGAGAAGCACTCTTTTGCCTCATTTCGTCATTACAAAACATAAACCTTCTGCTTCTTCTCTTTCTTCTCTCTTCGTTTTCTTAAAAGAGAGAGATTTGTAAAGAGAAAGTGGTTATGATAGAGTTCGCCGTCGGGCTCGGATTCGCTTGGTGCAGGTCGGGAACTAATCGGCTGACACAACCACGTGGATTTTCCTCATTGGCTTGTGAGCAGGGATTGGATCCCGCCTTGCATCAACTGAATCGGAGCCCCGATGGTGAAAAATGAATTATTAAAATTCTTATCAGATCTGGAAGAAGAGATCTTCTCCTCTCATCCTCCTTCATATTGTTTTTTTTTTTTATTTATTGTTTTGACTTATTTTAGATAAAACCGAGGAATAAAGGTAAAAAGTGTTTTTTTTGGGGGGGTTTGAATCTTAAATTTTAGTATGTGGATAGGCTCTTGGTTTCTCCAGATCAAGATGATGATTTTACCCTTTTTAAATCATACTGGAATTTTGAATTTTATTTAATCTTTGTGTTTGTTCCTCAAATATTGACTCTTTTTTTTTATAAAGCCAAGTGATATTATACAGCTCATGTTTGGAAAACTGTAGGATTTGTTAGATGCTAGAGAACATTTGAATTCAAGATCTAGGGTTTAGATGTGATTAGTTCTCTATTCAATCTGTATTAACTGTTAATTCTTACACTCCCCATATGATTTGATATCTAAGGGTAGATATGAAGATGAAGAGCTCACTCACTTCTTAAGAATCCTTAATTAGCCTTTAGGATTTATGATTCGTTTTACTTTGGTTATGTTTTGGATGATGAGATACAAGATTGCTGGTTTTGATTCGTAAAAGGTAATAGTCAAATCTCATTTACCTAAATTATACTGGTTTGAGGCAAATCTTTTGGCCGGTTTTGTACTTGTTTATTGTTGAATTTGTTCATTAGCATCTGAAAAGTAAGCACTGTTATTATATACACAGACATTTATATGCTTAAGTTCTCTGCGAAGAGATGTTATGGCAGGCATGTGAAATGAGGAATTTTCCATTTGTGGATATATAATGTTGAATTAGAGTGTAGTTGTGAATTGTTTGAAGAGAACAAATGGTGTGTGGAACTAAAGGAACTAAGAAACAGAGTCAATCCAATTAGTACCGTTAGTGAGGAATAAATGCAATTAATGATGTTAGTGAAAAACAAACGTAAAAAACAGAGAGAAGTTTAAATGCGATTTGTAAAAAAAAATTAGTTGGTTGTTTTGATCATTTAATATCTAAATTGGTTGGTTGTTTGACAGACGCACTTCATTTGCAGATTATTGTTTTAGCTTAATTTATACATCTTCTTGCATCTTTTGGTTCTTTACAGACTTCTGAGGTGTATGAAGTAAGAACAATCCTCACTAATGGTGATTGGATTTGATCAATTTGGTCAAAAGTTTATCCGTTTTGTCAATGAGCAGGTTCCCCATTTTCAGCTGCTCCACTCCACTTCAGTCTTTTTCTCTAATGTAATTTAAACATTATTTATAATAAAAAGGTAAATCAATTCTGCAAGATCTTCTTACTGATTAAATTGATGATGACAGAAGATTCTCTCCTTGGTGTATGTTCTCCAGCTAATTACTTACATTATGTTAACCATACTAGTTTTTGTCACAGATGTTTAGTCTGATTTGAATCACCTACCAATAAAAACTAAACATTCTAGTGAATAATAGCCAATCATTATGCTATATGTATCAACGGATGCAACTAGATGATTAAAAAAGTGTTGGTTCTTTTACAAACAAAAAAAACAAGAAAGCATCATGTGATTCGAATTCTTGTCAGGCCCTGAAGTTTCACTTTCAAGTTCAATCCAACCCTTATGTTCTGTATAGAAACACATGGTTACACTTTTTACAACCCAATCTAGTTTCTTTTCTTTTGGATCTTTCTGATACAAAAGGACCAGTTTTTGTTCGATATAAATAATTGTAAAATAAACTTGTTGCTTCTCTGATATCACATTTCATCCTTCACCATCTCAGCAAGAAGTAGAGTTCTCGCTACTTGAGATGATTATATTGACTGTTTTTTGTCCATCTATTTATTCTTCTTCTCCAAGAGGGTGATGTATTTCGTCAAGAACCTAAATCAAAACATAGATTCAACCCTCTTGGAGCTTGGTGATGTATTTCGTCAACGTCAAGAACCTAAATCAAAACATAGATTAAACCAAGCTCTTGTCCTATCATAGGCAATTTAATTATTTATCTTGATGATCTGTTCTTACTTCGTACACAACATAATGGTCTTGAAATGGTAATTGCAGGGTGTGCCACTTGCTCTAGATGGTAATTGCAGGATGTGTCCGCTATGTCAGAGTAGGCATTTGCAACCATGACCCCTCTCATTACGTGAACAACAGTGGTGACTCTGACATGAAGTTTGAAGCTTCTGATATCAAAATCCAACTAGACAAGTTATGATTAACCAGGCAGGACTAGAACTGAATCAAAACGAATGTATGCTGAGACGAGTTGTTCACAAGAACGAGGATTTTTCTGTAACCATAGGGCTTGTATAAACTGATTTTTGAAGTTTCCCAATTATAAAAGATGCGAACAAAAGAAAACCCATTCATCCAACTCGCGGATACTTCTCAAAAGATAATCAAAGTTTGTTACTTTAAATACAGAGAGTATTGCTTTTTCTTCATTGATTTTAGAGCAAAAGATGAAGCTAGAAGTTTTTCCGACTAAGCTGCGATGCAAACAGATCAGCTGCAGCCATAGCTTGAGAAGCTGAACCAATTGATCCATCATATCTGCAAGAACAACACAGTACAACCATAAGCATCTTTAGTTCTAGATTGAAAATGTGAGAAGAGATGCAACTGAGCAGAGTGTTTCAGTGCACTCACAGAGCAACCAATACGTAAGCAGAAGTCTGCATCACAATAGCTCCTTCGCCAGCAGGCTGGGTTGTGTTTAAGCACCGAGCAGCAAACCAATTCTCATGAATCGATGTTACTATGTCTACAATAATTTCAAGTCCTATTGTTAAACCACAAGAACACTCTCCAAGCAAAAAGGATAAAAAAAAAGGGAAAATAAAAACTAACACTGGTTGGATCCAAGAACAAAGGTCTCGGTAGGAAGATTGCCACGTCTCATGAAATCGATGAATTGCTTTAGCTCAACTGGATAGAGATCAGCCCCTTCTTGCTCAGCTCTGCAAAGAACTCAAATCGAGCCTCAAGAGTAAGTAAATCAAGTTTCGATCTTTGACTGCAAATACTAATCTAAGAACACAGAGCATATTAGATCCCATCTTCTGAAAGTTGCTTACATTGTGGATAAGAGACGAGAAGGTACTGTAGGATCATAGTTGATCAAAATAGCAGCCTTCAATGGATTGCCTGAATTCAATTTTAACAATCAATTCACCAAAAGTCAGATTCTTTTTTTTTTTTTTTTTCTGGGTTCTTCTTTTCAGAATTTCCCACAGAAGAAGAAGAAGAAGAAGGAAAACAAAATCTCTAATCGGGAGAGAACATAAATCAGAGGACTTACCGGAAGATCCGACATTACTCGTAACCCATTTGTCCCAAGCTCTGTCCACAAACGCCGAATCCATGGCTGAGTTCCGAAACTGCTTAAAATTTATAAAGCAATGGTTTTTAGGGAATTGAACGAATCAGAGCACCAAAGCTTTGTTTAGTACAGTCTCTGTCTCTGTCTCTCGGGGAATTCGTATAAATCTAAAAGCTTTACAGATAAAGTCGATTAATACAGAAAAATAACCTTAAAATCAAAGGAAAAACACACTCTCTTTATTCAAATTTTCAGAAGTTGCAATTGGTATTGTTTTATCTTGACTCTTCTTATTCCTCAACAGAAATTGCAATGATTATTCATCCGATTCGGAAAACAAACACCAAACAATTCGAGAGATCTTAGATGAAATTTTTAAAAATTGTACATTTGAAATATGATATAAGAAGATCTATTCGTCAGTAGAGATTGCAGGACAAGTGGGATTGCAAGTCGGCGACGGACAGTCTATCTTCTGGAATGCACTCCGGCCATAAAACCAGTTTCCGACTGCTTTCGCAATTTTCTGCAAAATGAAAATTGAAAAACAGAACTCAGAATCAAAAACACCGATACTGAAAACAAAATAAAGATCAAAACTTAGGAAAATTTACAAACAAAAGTTTGATTACCGTGTTGGCGACTTGGGGACCTTTGTCACCGGACCAAGAGGCGGCGCTTCCGCCTTGGCAATGGGCGTGGCACGAGTCCAAGAATAATCCTCTCGACGGAGTACTGTGAACCGGAGACAATGCACGCATCATCTGATCCCTAAACCCTGAGATGGTTAAACCAACCCGGTTTAATCTAATTTAGTCCCAAACCATATCACTCGTTTTAATTCGGATGAACCGAACGAATCAAAAGTAAATGTACATGTTTCAAACTGAACCGAAACTTGTTTTCGTTTGAAAAACTGAGACTACGACACCAAATTAATCAAGATTAGTTACTAATTATTCTCTTAAATTTGAAAAGCTGGGAAAAACGAAATCAAAATCTGGATTCAAAACCGCTGCTTCTTCTCACCATTACAAACCGGAACAGAATCTCTAAAATGTATCAAGATCCGTAAACTTCGGTTTGATTGTGAAATTACCTTGGACGGTTTTGAGCTGAGCGGCCGTACACTTCTTGAGGTCAAGCTTACAATTCTTCCACGCTTTGCTCTTATCAACAGCAGTCGGAGCCAAAACGTTCTTGATCTGAAAATCACCAAATTTAATGTAAGTATCGATTTGTGTATATTTATAAATGAATATATATTTGTATACAAATATATAATGTATATACACCATGCATGTATCTGACCTGCCAGGAATCGAAGGCTGCGTTAATGACAAAGAGCGGTGTTCGCATGAAAGGAACAACATATTGCGGGAAGAAGCACTGCAAGAAACGAACAAAGAAGACAATATCGCTTCAAAGATGCAATAAAGTGGCGAGATCAGCGACGTTGGGATTAGATAACTAAGTACATACGAGTTCTGGTTTCATTCTTGAGGTGCAAGAAAGAGGAAGACTCTTTGCAGATCCCTGCAAATATGATTTAACCAAGAGTAATGATTTTAGGATTATCCTCAGGATAACTTATAAGAATTTACACTTAGATAGATGATAAATATTGTACGTGGAGTGCGACGACTTTGCTGTAGTACGTTTGGATGTATGATCCTCCTGAGATATCTTTCCTGTTATCATAAGGATTCTATTAGTCGATGTCACAAACTTTGTAGGGGTTATTGGTTATTGTATTTTGGTAGATTTATAAATTTTCTTTGGATTTGATAAATTTATTGATTTCAAAATCAGCAAAATGGAAAAAAATCAAATCCACTCAAATACCAATGTTAGACTTTGTATTTGGGTCTTTGTATTTTAGTCATGAAAATTCTTCCAAATCCATTCAAATTCAATTAAAACTCAAATTCTTATAATATTTAGATTCTAAAATGATAGAACCAATAACATTGTATTTCATTATGGATTTTAAAATCATAGAACCAATAACACTGTATTTCAATATAAATTTTAAAATACAAGAACCAATAACACTGAATTTGGTTTGAATTCTCAAATCCATTAAAATACAAGAACCAATAACACCTCCTAAATCTTCTTTGGATTTGATAAATTTATTGATTTCAAAATCAACAAAATGGAAAAAAAATCAAATCCACTCAAATACCAAGGTTAGACCTTGTATTTGGGTCTTTATATTTTAGTCATGAAAATTCTTCCAAATCCATTCAAATTCAATTAAAACTCAAATCCTTATAATATTTAGATTCTAAGATGATAGAATCAATAACACTGTATTTCATTATGGATTTTAAATCATATAATCAATAACACTGTATTTCAATATAAATTTTAAAATATAAGAACCAATAATACTGAATTTGGTTTGGATTCTCGAATCCATTAAAATACAAGAACCAATAACATCTCCTTTGATTCTAGACTGTAGGCTGTATATATATTGATGTTCAGAAAAAAAAAATAGGTTTACGGTTAGTTTTAATTCTATCTTTGGGATTTTCGGTTGTACATTGATTAAAACTGAGACCAAATCAAACCCATGCATCGGTTTTTTGGTTTAGATTCGGTTCCCTTTCGGTTAAATATATTTTTTTCAAAAATATATGTAGATAAATGATATAAAATTTAAGGAATTTCTGATTTATTCGACTTGGTTTAGTTCGGTAGCATTGAAATTGGTGTCAGTTCGGTTTCGGTTTGAATGTAGTGTGAACCGTTTACAAATTTAATTTTGGTTTGGTTTTTTTTTTTGCATATGTACACGTACCCGTGGATAAAGTAACCGGCGTCGGAAACACATTTGACTGTAGCTGTTCGGGGAAGTATAGCACGGAAAGTGTCACAGTGTAGAATCGCGGCCAATGCTCCGGCTGAACAACCTGAGAGTATCGCCTGAAAAGTTGTGTAAACCCTCTCTAAATTAGTAAGAAATTAAGAAACTTTAACTTGACAAAAAATGAAAGAGATGATGTTGAAATATACGTTTTGAGCGTTTTTCATTCCTTTAGCCATAAGATCGTCAACCACCGCACGCCAAACTCGTGCACCGCGGAAGAACAGCTTATTCGCCTGAAAACATTCAAAAGTTCCGATCATAAAACCAAAAACTATGAACAAAATGTAAATTTTGAGCCAAAAAAAGTAAAATAAATCTTTATATAAAATATCAGAATTTAGTCACTAAATTACCGGATTAACGGCTTCTACATTGCCGGTGAAAGATGATCCGTCGCAGTAACGTACTTTGATTCTATTCCAATTGTAAAAATCTGAAGAAAAGAAAAATCCATTTTAATTAGAAAAAAAAAACGAGGTACAAATTTCAACTCCATTGAATCGTCAACTCTGAGAGGAAAAAGGTCGTTGAATAATTGGGAAATATAAAATGAATTATATTAGTTTAGACCTGGGTTAGTGCTTTGCTTGCCACCCAAGATACCGGAGAAACCAAAGTCTTTGTTCATGAACTTGGACGAACCCTTCATTGTACCCTTACGCGCACTGCATGAAGCCACGTCCGTACACCATCCTCCTCCCTAACATATAAACAACATCATTCACGCTATATCTGAATTTAATTCAAATTACAACTTACTTTATATATTACACTGAATTATTTTTCAGTAAAATAAATATTATATATCTGATCGATTAATGACTAAACGATTCCACTATTTTACCAGTCACATAAAACTATAAAGTATATAAAAAAAAAAAACTATAAAGTATTACAATTTATTTATATATATTCAGTCATTGTAAAATAATATTAAGTGGTCCACAAATTTGCAACAAATTCAAGCTCTTACCTCCATATGAACGATCCAGTTGTTAACCCCCGAACCAAACCCTTTGTCGAAATGGTAAGCTGGTGCACTCCCATCCAGACACACTACATGTGTATATAAAACAAAAAGCAAACAATTCTCAATAAACTGTAGATTTATTCGATTTAATGCAAATTAAAATACTCATATCATACGATAGGTAGATATGTAAACCGTTGTTGTTTATTACCGGCTCCTTTAGCGACGGCGCTTTGGAGATAAGTGATAGGAACAGCTCCGGCTCCGATCACCACTACTGCCAACAGTAGCAGACTTGACCAACATTGCTTAAGCCTCCCCATTCTATTATGGTTTTTTTATATGAAAATTAACCTGCGGAATGCTAAATTCATTAATTTGTATTGATCAAATATTATATATTGCGATATACTGTATGCTCAATTATTCTACGATTTCAGTGGGAAAAGTAAACTACATTGTAATTTTACAGCAAAAATAAAAGTTCATTTGAAAAATCTACGACTCTCTTATTCCATTTTTTATTTTTATTTTAAGATTCCACTAACCCACACTATAAGACATCCATCATCCATGTGCGTGTTTATAGATCTTCTAGCTTTTCTCAGACAACCTTTTATAGAGTCTGTAATTATTACCTTTATCAGAGTGTAGTCCACTAAACAAATACTATTATTATTACAAAGTTCGTTTATACTCTTATCTAGATAAACAACCGGTGACACACCCATTGTATTGTATTAAATATTAATCCGTCGTTTAACAACATTGCTGATTTCGTATTAGCCTATTACGGTCTGTAGATATTTTGAGAATTGAGATACTTAAAAAGTACACTTTCACATCATCATATCGTCTTTCACTATGTAAGTACTTAGTTTAGAGAAAGTCATTATCATAAAAGAAATCGATAACCGGCTAGTACGGAGGTGCACGCTATGTCTAACATATTAGACCGCAACGCAGAGAACTGTGTCTCGAATAGTCGAATCATATAAATTTTCCTAACTTTCATGCCATTCACATAAATGAGAAGAATTTTTTTTTTAAATTTGCAGGCTCCTTTTGCCTACAAGACTAAAACCAAATGTATCCATGCATTTTATTTTTATATATAGTAATACATTCATTTCGCGAAATGACAACACTTCTGAGTATATAGATCAAATAGCAAGTTATAGTCTCATTATAAAAAGGATAGAATAAATTCAAAGAAAAAAGGAATTCACCGAATATGAAGCTTACCTTATGAGAATGGAGTTCTTCAGATTCTGCTTTGCTTAGAGAGAGGTCTTAAACCTTTTTTGGTTTATAAAATGGATAGTGAGGAAGATGAAAGAGAGAGAGAGAGATTTAAAGTTCATGGAAGCCAGCCATGGTTGTCGTTTCCATTATATAGATAGATCCACAAGTTGCAACTTTTTTGTTTCTTTTTAATTTGCTTTGTTTATTCTTTTGCTTTAATTTGCATAAAGGTTTTTCTTTTTATGAAATGCTTGTGATGGCATAGCGTGCGTGTCTGTAGATTCGCCAGGTTTATCCAACGTCAAGAAACTACGTTGTATAAGTCTACTCTTCTATTAATGCTTCTCTTTATAAAAAAAATGTAACCCGAATCGATAGATCGAAGTAAGTGATTAGCTTAGTCAATGTTTTGGATGTTTATAATTTTATTTTTTAAAAAATCTCATTTTATAATTTATGTTTGAAAAAAAAAAACTTGTCTGCTTTACATTTTATTTATTAGTATAGTAACTAAAAACATTGTTTATGGATTCAAAAATCCTGATTAACCAAATAACAAAAAAGGTTATTCTCAGATTGTTTTCTTTTTAGTCACTGATCAATAATGATCATTATACATACTAGTTATGCATGTTTTTCAGAAATTCAGTTTTAATGGTATCAATCTATGCGTCTATTTCACCTAAAGTTTTCACATGTTCATATTAAAAAATAGTTTATCTTAGATTGTTGTTATCTTTGTAACAAACCTGTGAACACAATTAAATAAGGAAGAAAAAGTATGGTTTGGCACGAGAGATAAAAGTGTCGGTGCACCGAACGAGTAGCTCTGCGCAACAGCCAAAATATGTTGAGAGCTTTTTGGTAAAGTATCAAAATTCAAAAGTCAGACTTTTCTCTATTCGACACCAGTAACAGAGTATTATTGTATACTACTATACAAACATAAAATGAGGACAGGACATCGGCTTGATGTTAGTTTCATGGATAATACGAATTAATTTTGTTATTTAGTAGGAACTCAAAAGGAATAATTGTTACTTAAGGAAGATACCTGGAGATTTCAACTGAAGCCCTTGATCACTGAATTGGATCTCTTTTCTGTTTTCTCAGGATGATGATTAGTCTGTAAACCGCGTGCAATAATACATACAGCATAATGTCATATGGGTTTCGCATAAAGCATAAACAACACATTTAAAAAAAAATACAAAAGTAAATAATTTTATTAATTCATGATTAAATTTCCTATTGTTTTCATTTTCAAAACATTTTTGTATTATATTAATTCAAGATTAAATAAAATTGATACACACACACACAAAAAAACCTCAAACTTAGAGCTGAAGTAAAGAATTAACACTTTATTTATTAGAATAAAAAGTAACAATTTCGAATTTTACACAAGAATGGAAGTGAAGCAGAGCAACTAATCAGCACACAAGACAAATGCTGAAGAAAACTGCTCGTTTTGCTTATATCCTCAGCACTCAAGAATCAATCACTCTTTCTCTTTTTTTTTTCTTCTTCTGTAGCTAGACCCTAAGAATATATATCACTATATTTGAGAAATGAATCATGTGTATAAGTAAATTTTTCTTTGAAAAAATAACAAATCTATACTTCTATATATTTCTTAAATCGGAGGAGCATCTTGAGGAGTGAAAACCCTGTGGTGGCAAGTAGGGTTACAAGGGTAAGGACAATCTATCTTCTGAAACAATGTTCTGTCATAAACCCAATCTCCAACAGCTTTTGCTATTGTCTGCTCACAAGAACAAAAAAAAAAAGATGAAATATGATCAGAAGAACACAATGTACATTTGATTCTAGTGATCTTTTGTTTCACAAGAATTTGGAGTAGACGTTTTAAACTAACGCTTACCGTTTTGTTTAGAATTGGAGAATCTTGCCAGAACCATGAAGTTTGTGTCTCTGTTTGGCAGTGAGTGTAACAAGAATCTATGAACATCCCTCTTGACGAAGATCTCCCTAAACCTATAACCGCGCTCAAGAACTCTAATCTGAAATCTAAAAGAAGATAAAAACCAGAATTTTAAAACCTTTTTTTCTGCAATGATGCAGCTTTAAGAAAACGGATCAAAAGATTCTTGAATAGTTTATGGTTCTGAGGCTAACCTTGCATAACTTTGAGCTGGCTTGGATGGCAGTTCTTGATGTCAAGTTGACAACTTTGCCATTTTCCGTAAGGATCAGCAGCACGCGGAGCCAAAATGTTCTTTATCTGAGTGACAAGTTTTATGAAGTAAAAGAGTGTGAAATACTTAATCTAGCTGAAAGATCGGTTCTCTAGAGAAATCTAATTGTTACAAAGAGATACTTTACCTGCCAAGAATCGTATGCGGCATTAAGAATGAAAAGAGGAGTTCTAATTTGGCGAGCCACGTATTGTGGGAAGAAACACTGCGATTTGTTGGTAATATGATTATATGAGTAAAATTGAAGAGAAACAAAAAGGGAGTTAAAGAGATAACATGAATGTTTTTTTACCATTGCGGGAGTCAATCTTGATGTGCATGACCTCGGCAAGTTCTTAGCTGATCCCTGCAAAAGCATTTCATTGAAAAGTTTTAGAACAAGAATGAGCTTACTGTATTAACTGCCATTAGAGAAAGAACAGCAACTAAATAGCTTACATGTAGAGAAACCACATCTTTGAAGTATGATCTAATGTATTGAGCTCCTGAGACATCTCTTCTGAAAAACATACCGATAAAAAAAATGTCTTACATACAGCGAAAACCATACTACTTTCTGATCTTTCTAAGTCAGTGGATGATAGATCTTTAACGTTAACAACGGAACAATTGTCTTACGTATTGAGAAAAAAACCAGCATCTGACAGACATTTTACGTTGGCACCCATCGGTAACAGAGCACGGAAACTGTCACAATGCATCAACGAAGCTAAGCCGCCAGCAGAACAGCCAGACAAAACAGCCTGCCATAGTTTCATCCACGTTTTAGACCACTTTCAAGGATACCAAAAGCTTTTCAAGATTCAATGGAGAAACAAGCTTACATTCTCGGCGTTTCTCATGCCTTTAGCTAGCAGCTCCTGCATAACAGCTAGCCAAACTCGAGCACCTCTGAAGTGAAGATTAGTAGCCTGATCAAATCACCATTACGATTATCGAATAAGGAAGAGTTTTCTCTTCCTTTGACAACACCAATGTAAAATCTCATTGTTTTCTTCTTAATATACTTACAGGGTTCACTGCTTGCACATCTCCTGTGAATGATGACCCGTCGCAGTATCTAACTTTCACTCTGTTCCAATTGTAAAAATCTGCCATTTCCGTTAACAACCAACCAAAATCCATCAGAACAAAAAACCCAACTTATGATGTTTGATCAAGAGATTAGTCAAAAAAGCTAATTCCAATCATACCAGGATTGTATTGCTTCTTATTGCTAAGAATAGCTGAGAAAGCAAGTTTCTCCACCATTCTCTTCGATGAACCTAATCGAGTATGCATCCGATTAAGGCAGTTTGTGACATTATTACACCATCCTCCTCCCTTAATCAATCATTTCCCAAAAAAACACTCAGTTTACTTTCACAAAACAGACAGAACACAAGAGGAGAAAAAATAAAAAAAAACAGAACAAAAACCTCAAGCTGTATCAACCAGCTGTTGATTCCAGTTCCAGAACCTCTGTCTAAATGATAAGCTGGTGGACTACCATCCAAACAAACTGCAAAAATAAAAACATGAATTAAAGATTAAAAACACAAAAGTAAACAAACTTTGACCAAATTAGCGATTATAATAAGATATATAAATAATAAACTCACCGGCTCCTTTTGCGACGGCGTTTCGTACCAATGTCATATTGACAAACAATCCTTCTGTTTTCAAGATTACTAATGAACATACCAACAGAATCAACCATTGTTTGAAGTTGAACATTCTGGCGAAAGAAAACAAGAAAGGAACAAATTGATTAAAGGAGCGTTATAAAATTGAATGAAGTACAGGTAAAAAAAAAGAGAACAGCTAACAAAAATGGCATTATAGTACTTCTGCTTCACAAGACAAGATCCCGAACTTTGGATGAAACAATACATAAGTAGACAAAAATTCTCCGTTTAGATCCATTTACATCATTAGGCTTCTAAAAAATGTTTTTTTTTCGTTTCAGTTTTTAGTAGATTTTTGCGGTGCCTCAGATTCCAATTTCCAGCTAATAAAAACAAAAGACAAAAATTTCAGGGAAAATTTTACAGACAGGAAAGTTTCATCTACAGATTCGATTATGTCGGAAAGATGGTTTCCCGAAAGCAAAAGGAAAAAAAATTCGAAATCTTTTCCTCAACGTAGAAGATATTAACGAGAAAGAATCAGTTTTGCATACTGGGAAAAGAATATATATTTCTTGGAAAGAAAGTTTCTGCCGCAAACGCACTTACTTGGAAACGCGGTTTCTTACAAAACCCAACCTGCGATTAGTCTAAACCTCCAAGTGTCACTATGCTAACTCGGACGGTGACTCAGTTTCAGCACATTGCCCGAAGACGCGATTTTCGAGCAATGAAGAGAAGTAGTAAAGCGTTTGTATAACGCGCGTTTTGGAAATCCGACGTACAATGTGTGTCGTGTGTGTGTTTTTTTTTTTTTGCAGGTCTCAGCGTTTTTTTTTCTTCCGGAACCCGAGAGCCGACACTGATTCGTTCGTTTTCGCAAATTTAAAAGAAAAAAAGAAAAACAGAGTATAATAAAAACAATGGATTGGTGGTGTGTACGAGAAGATGATGTGTTTATATACAGGATATGTTTTCAGATTTTACCCAAAATTTATTATTTCCTTACAAAACTGAACCTTATGTTTCCTTTCTCATATCATGACCCTTTTATATTGACATTTTATTATATAGAGTTTTTATTATATTTTCTAATTATATAAAGGAAATTATATGATCGATTAGCAAAAAGTAAATAAGAAAATTAGAAAAAGTAAAAAAGCGTATTTATCATGTACATTAAATTGTATAATCGATCAATGACTGACATTAAAGGAAAAGTGTTTTTAAAAAAAATAGATTCAAAATTTTAAAATTAAAAGAAAACATCTTGTATGTTTTCATGTTTTCTAATCATATTAAGAAAAGTATGATTAAGTTTTATGTTTTATAAAATTTCTAAATATTTCTAACTATTTAAAATTTTTATTAGAATTTTAAAAGCAAAAGGCAAATAAACATCTTTATATTTTATATTTTCCAATTAGATAAAGGAAATTGGAATATCAGTTATTTAATAAATATATAAAACTCTAAATATTTAAAAATTTGTGATAAAATTTTTATTGGAAAATATAGTCAAAATAAAATAAATATTGTTATTTTTTTTTTAGTTTCGTTTTAAAATTATTAAAATTACAGATAATGAGTTCAAAATAAATATTGTTATTTTTTTCTTTTTGGTTTTCGTTTTAAAACTATTAATTACAGATAATGAGTTCAATTTACAGTCTGTTGAATGACATCTGTAAAAACTGATTACTTGGTCAAAATAACATTGATGATTGTGGGGTTGACCAACAGAAAATAAATGTAATGGCTTGTACACCAAAGATTGATATAAAATGGGGGGTTCGTGTTCAGAAATGCTCTAACTAGTGGGGTTGACACTTGACACCCGAAAAGGGTTTTCGATTAAAATGGGTTTGATAGGATCCGACCCGAATGTTGGGGGTGGGTGACGTGATCCGGTCGGACCGGTAATGGTGTTGTTGAAATGTAACGAATCTTATCAGCTTCTAAATTACGCGTTCCGCAGCCAACTAACGGTTGACGATTTGTTCGGGAATAAGGTCTGTTTTGTCTTTTGATATATTTTTATATAATGGATTATTATTATCGGCTTCTTCGTTTTTTATTTTCCAATAAAACAGAATAAAAGGAAACCTAGTCCAAAATTAGAATGCCAAGGATTCCAAATTTTTTTCGTTTTTTTTTCAAATAAATAAAAGTTAAAGTCTATATTTGGCGGAATAGTTAGGTAAGTATTTTACCATAAATTACACCCATTAACAATTAAAAGTTTTATACCCTAAAATAAATAAATAAACAAATCAAGAAAAAATAATGGGAAAGGAAAGAAGCATCTCGTTTTCTGGAAAATATTCTTCGCAATTATTTTACAATTAGTGGTAAAAGCTAAAAGGATGGCAATTTTGAAAAATGTTGTGATGATGCATCAATTAATTATAAAGGAGGTAAGGGAAAGAAAAAAAAAAGGATCAAAGTGATGTAACAACTAAACAATAAAGACAATTAGGTCCATCCGAACCTCAAAAGGGAGCTATATTCATTCCGAAGGTTATCTTATCTCTTAAAATTAAATATTTAATTTGAGTACAAAACTCATTAGATATGAAATTGTTCAAACTATATAGACTTTTATTAATTATTGTCAAAAACCTTATGGAGTTTGTAACTATCTGCAGAACTAAGTAAAATACAACTCTACCTATCTCACAAACAAATAACAAACATTATTATTTTATTTAGCGGTAAAATTTGGTATATATCGTATATGAACGGTAATTATATCTCACGCACAACAATTAAATAATTTGGTATATATGAACGTTTATAATTGGTACTAAATCGAAATAGAAACATTTAAACCTTCAACTTCGTATAAAAGCTGGTAGAGAAGAATGGTTGATACTATGTTTCCTCCTGACATACGTTTTAAATGACCAATCACGAAATAAAATTACACATCCAAGTTTATTTTTATTTTCTTTCATAAAAACCCTTTAACTTCAAAGTTACTTTTCAAATAATTTTCTTTAAAATATATATCAAATGTAAAGGGTCGTTATAGTAAAAAAAAAAAAAAAAAAAAACTATTGCGTAAAACATCCCCAGAATTAATGTCATATGTTTTCTTACATAAATCTACTGGAACCACAGTAAAGCAATCAATATCCTTAGTTTGGTGACATTAGGAGTAAGGCATCACTAATCACAAACATGCCATATTATTATGGTTCATGTATCATTATCAATGATTAAGTGGAAGCAACATGCCACGTTCAAATCTTGATTCATTCTATAACGAATTTATGGTGCTTTTAATTACCATTTACATATTGCAGGGTGGTAATAAGATTAAGTATAAACTTACATCAAAGAAGACCCAAAAAAACATTTTCAATTTTTTTTCCGCAAAACAGATTCCGGTGACATGGGTAATTGCTGCTCTGCTCATAGATATATATATAGTCAAGTACTAGTATTATAGTTGCTGAACAAACAAAAAACCAATTACTTTAACGAGGAATATAAATAATTACCGTTTAATAATTTATAATCGGCGGGAGGAGCGAAGCATATGATTGGAGGTTGAGCGTGTGGATGTATGATACGTGGCGGCAGAAGGAGTGTAATGAAACTCGTGATTGACGGTGGGATTCTTCTTGCATGGGTCCTACACAGCTGTTGAGTTAAGTCCTTTTAACTTGAAAGTAACTTTTATAAATCCTAAAAAACCCTGACATGGTTGTGATTCATTACTATTTGCGTCCGTGTTTAGTTTCATTTCCAAGCTCACAACCGGCGCGTGTGTTCATTTTAGTTCCACCCGATTATTGGAGTTTGGCGTTAAATAGACTTAGAAATTGAACGAAGGTGATAAAGCCAACGATCATGTTTTAAACTTTTAGACTTCTTGTAACAGCAGTTTCATCTACAAGAGAATACAATATGGAATCGACTTAAAACTAAGATTATAGTTGTTGTCAAAAAAAAAAGCAACTAAGATTAGTGAAGATTATATATAATAATTCAATGAGTAATGCTATTTATATATTATTATATTTGGTGAAAGTCACATGGAACCTGTTTATAACTTTTGCTAGTTTTGTGATTGTCAATTTTTCATAAAAATTTAGTAACCAATAGATGAAGAGAAGAATTTAAATACGTCACACTGAAGTTAGGAATGACAATGAAATGGAAAAGAATGTGTCCAACCAATTTTATTGGTCTTCATCTAGTTGATCATTAGGGCTCGTTTCAAGATAAGACTACAATCCACGAAGCTAGTGGGCTCCAGAATTGAATTATCATCCTCTCTCGTATGTGGTAGTGAAAACATAATTGTAAATTAACAAATTTGTGGATGAAGAATGGAGTAGCTAATCTTGTGCTCATGCACAGTTCAATCAAACTGCGTTATGCTAACCAAATGATTGATAGTTGAGTGATCATTGGCACTATTAATCAATTAGTTGAATATCTTAAACCCATGTATCATCCATTTAGTGTAGTGTTTGTTTGTTGGGTTACACATAATGATCTTGTCTCCAGATCCATTGACCATAATATAAAGTAATACTTTGCAGTTTACCTACTCATCAATTCTATCAGAACTATATTACGAATCTTCTGTTTTATGAAGTGAATGCATTAGCAAGTTCTGTTTTGATGGCT